TCAATACACCCTGTCATACTTCAGGTTAGTATTCAATACACCCTGTCATACTTCAGGTCAGCATTCAATACACCCTGTCATACTTCAGGTTATTATTCAATTCACCCTGTCATACTTCAGGTTAGTATTCAATACACCCTGTCATACTTCAGGTTAGTATTCAATACACCCTGTCATACTTCAGGTTAGTATTCAATACACCCTGTCATACTTCAGGTTAGTAGTCAATACACCCTGTCATACTTCAGGTTAGTATTCAATACACCCTGTCATACTTCAGGTTAGTATTCACTACACCCTGTCATACTTCAGGTCAGTATTCAGTACACCCTGCCATATAGTTCAGGTTAGTATTCAATACACCCTGTCCATACTTCAGGTTAGTATTCAATACACCCTGTCCATACTTCAGGTTAGTATTCAATACACAGGGTGGCCAAAATGTACGGATTGTACGGATTTTTTATTTTGTAACCCTAAAATTGTACGGATTGTACGGATTTTTTTCCAAATTGTACGGATTTTACAGATTTGTATCCTGGAAATACACCTTTTTTTAAATTTTCACTCATTTCAGCAAATTTTTCTTTAAAATTTCAAAAAAAAATTCTTGTCAAATGTGAAGTTAGTTTTACTTATTTTCTGCATTCTAAATAATATTAGATTCATTAATGTTTCAATTGACAATCAAAATTCATTCATAATTTTCGAGATCCCAGAAGTGTTCATTTAAGAATATGTTCCAGAAGTGTTCATTTGAGAATGTGTTTATCTATCTGTCTATCTGTCTAGCTATCTGTCTAGCTATCTGTCTAGCTATCTGTCTCGCTATCTGTCTAGCTATCTGTCTATCTATCTGTCTATCTATCTGTCTAGCTGTATGTCTAGCTATATTTCTAGCTATATGTCTAGCTATCTGTCTGTATATCTATCTGCATGTCAGTTTATCTATCTTTTTATGTATCTGTTTAAATATCCTATCTGTCTATAGTTATCTATATGTGTATGTGTCTATCTGTTTCTCTGTCTGTTTATCTATCTATCTGTCTCTTTATCAGATCTGAGAACATCCTCTCAGGTTTCTTTCGTTTATCTGTAAATCTTCTAATTTTTAGTTTAATATTAACTTTCTTTTAATCGAGTGTGCAACCCCTCTACCACGATAATTTTAGTTATATTAGATCCTAAATCTACACTCCACTCTAACTAATTATAACTTAATCGTTTGTTTGTTAAATGGCCTAATTCACACCAATCTTAACAGTTTTAAAAATTAGAATCAACTCTATTTAGTTCTCTAGTTCTCTGGTTCTCTGGTTCTCTGGTTCTCTGGTTCTCTGGTTATCTGGTTATCTGGTTCTCTGGTTCTCTAGTTCTCTAGTTCTCTATTATCTAGTTCTCTGGTTCTCTGGTTCTCTGATTCTCTGGTTCTCTGGTTCTCTAGTTCTCAATTATCTAGTTCTCTAGTTCTCTGGTTCTCTAATGTTTTTATTTTTCTTAAATTTTAAATTTTTTCTGAAAATGTACGAATTTTCGTACGGATTTTTTCAAAAAAGTTTTGGCCACCCTGTACTGATGTTATATTGTTTAAGACATAACTGTTATTATGTTACTGATGTTATATTGTTCAGTGCATATCTGATGTTATATTGTTCAAGGGCATATTTGTTATTATGTTACTGATGTTATATTGTTCAGGGAATATCTGTTATTATGTTACTGATGTTATATTGTTCAGGGCACATTTGTTATTATATTACTGATGTTATATTGTTCAGGGCATATCTGTTATTATGTTACTGATGTTATATTGTTCAAGGATATATCTATTATTATGTTACTGATGTTATATTGTTCAAGGACATATCTGTTATTATGTTACTGATGTTATATTGTTCAGGACACATTTGTTATTATGTTACTGATGTTATATTGTTCAGGGCATATCTGTTATTATGTTACTGATGTTATATTGTTCAGGGCATATCTGTTATTATGTTACTGATGTTATATTGTTTAAGGACAAAAAGCTGTTATTATGTTACTGATGTTATATTGTTCAGGTCACATTTGTTATTATGTTACTGATGTTATATTGTTCAGGACACTTTTGTTATTATGTTACTGATGTTATATTGTTCAGGTCACATCTGTTATTATGTTATTGATATTATATTGTTCAGGGAATATCTGTTGTTATGTTATTGATATTATATTGTTGAGGGCATATCTGTTATTATGTTACTGATGTTATATTGTTCAGGTCACATCTGTTATTATGTTACTGATGAAAACCAGAAGGAGAGGATTGTGTTTACAGGTACTCCAGCCCTATAAGCTACAGAACCAGCCCTATAAACTCCAGCCTCCAGTCCTATAAACTTCAGCCTCCAGCCATATAAGCTCCAGCCTCCAGCCCTATAGACTCCAGCCTGCAGCCCTATAGACTCCAGTCTCCAGCCCTATAAACTCCAGCCTCCAGCCCTATAAACTTCAGCCTCCAGCCATATAAGCTCCAGCCTCCAGCCCTATAGACTCCAGCCTGCAGCCCTATAGACTCCAGTCTCCAGCCCTANGTAGCCTCCAGCCATATAAACTCCAGCCTCCATCCCTATAGCCTCCAGCCCTATAAACTCTAGCCTCCAGCCATATAAACTCCAGTCTCAAGCCCTTTAAACTCTAGCCTCCAGGCTTTTAAACTCTTATGATTTCCACGATTTGGTGATTGATTTTTTATTTATTTATTTATTAATAATGCAGGGGATACTCTTTTCCTTGGTGGATGCGGACGTTTCTTTGAGGGAACAGCTGAACAGATGTTTACTGCTCTTATAGAGAAGCTCAGTGCTCTTCCTGATATAACGGTAGGACAATCTGGAGAATCTGTGCCTCCCCCCCCCCTCCCTTCTTCTTTATTTAATGGTAGGACGGTCTGGGCATTTTGTGTCTCCCACTCCGCACCAGAACAGTCTGGGGCATTCGTACGTATCTCACCCCCCTCCCCTAGGGTGCCCCTGATTAAAAATTCCCAGATGTGCGACACATTTTTTAGGAAGCATTAGGATAAAACTAGCTCAAATACGAAATTTTAGTTTTTTAAATAATTTTCCTAAATGGCTCAGCCATCTTACTGTTTTTGCCGCCATTTTTGGCCTTCTTAACCTTTTTTAAGGTGGTGTATTTTTCGACCTACGCAAATCCGCTATACTCCACTTCTGACCAACGCCAAATCCGCTATACAACACATCCGACCTACAAGCACGTGGTTTTACAGCTGCTATATGGACTTGTGGCTGCAGCACCCGGCCCCCTAGCCTGTCCTAGCCGCAGCGCTTGGTCTAGAAATTGTCTTAACCTAACCTAACCTTCAAATAATACAAAAATAAACAGCTGGCGTAGGTCCGATATTGCAGTAGGTCGGAAAGTTAGTAGGTCAGAAGTTTAGTAGGGGGATGTTGCGTATAGAAGATGTAGTATTACCTTTTTTAACCATTCTCGGCTAAATAGGGTTAACTCTGCGAATTTTCGAGGGATTTAAAAAAAATGATACCATTTTGGAAATCCTTTAACTTGGTTAAAACGATATTTGACAATTTGTTTTCGATTTTTTTTGTTTTTTGATGGTCAAATATTTAGAAAAAGGTGAAAATCGCGTCTTTTTGCATCTTTTGTCAGGTCCATTTGGGAGTGGGAGTGGTTAACATAATTTTTTTTTTCACAAACTAAACACCATGCTATTTGAAAATATTTTGAGAGTTCAGAAATGGCCTAAAAAATGTTTTTTTGACAAGTTTAGACGGAAATGTGTAAGGTAATGGCCAAAAAATCCATTTAAAAAACCCGTTTCTGTTGCAATTTGCTCCTCAACTCAACTTGCTTGGCCAAATGATGCAACTTAAAAAAAATAGTTTTTCATGAAAAGCTAGTTATTGTGATTGTTTTGGTTATCTTTGTTGTTATTGTATATACCTTTTATTATAATTGTTATTGGTACTTTTTTGTTCTTGCTATAGTTATTCTATTGTTGTTGTTATTACTGTTTTTGTTTTGTTTTTTTGTTATTTTTTATTCTGATTCTTTTCTTTTTTATTATTATTATTCTTATCCTTACCGTTATACTGTTTAGAAAGTTTACTCTGGTCATGAGTATGCCCTGCAGAACCTGGCTTATGGAGAACATGTAGAACCAGAGAACCAGTATATCAAGGATAAAATACAATGGTGTAGAGCACAGAGAGAATCTGTTCCTCCCATACCTACTGTACCATCAACTATAGCAGAGGAGAAACTAATCAATCCTTTCATGAGGGTAAGCTTACACTTATATAGAGGGAGAAACTATTATGTTGGAGATCCAGCTATATGATTTATATGCCTAATCGGATTAAAACCACAACAGTTTTGCTCTCTGACAATGACAGACAATGAAGAAAGAATTGGACAATGCACGCACCACTGACCCTTCAGTAAAAGTAAATTCAACCTAAAGTCTGACTGCGTCAACCTTGTTACACCGGCTAGTCCTATTGAGTGTCTGCTTTATTTAACCAATGTCCGGGCAATACAGTACAAACTGGGACCGGACAGGTTGACCCTGCTCGGAAATTCAAATGTACTACGGCTGCCCGTGAATGGACATGTTACCTTTAAAATTAAATATTCATTGTGTTTTGGGTATCATGTTGAGTATTGCTAGCTAGCCAAGAAGAATTGTCCTGAGCAAAAGCTTAGACCTCAAGTTTGAAATAGATTTTATAGAAGTAAAATTTAATTTTATTTAAATAAATGTTTTGAATGTTTAAATTGTGTATATATTATTTTATGAATCAATTATATGTTCTGTTTTAGGTACAGAAACCTGCTGTTCAAGCTCACGCTAAATCTACAGGAAAATAGCAGCAATATTTACACTCTTCTGTTTAATTTATTTTTATTTTACTTTTCTTTCCATAATAGGTAAACGTTTCATTTTAAGGAGCTTAGTTCTTGTTCTAATCTGAAATTGAAATTTTACTTCTCTATGAGTTAATTGCTTCATTTGAAAATTGTAAACTCTTATTTCAATTTAAGCTTAGTATAGTCATTGCAAGATTGTGATGAGGGCATAGGACGGCCCTTTAAAGTCTAATGCATTGATTGATTGATTGATGTCTCCAATCTGCATCTTTCTTTTTAATAATAATGAACTAGCTGAAGTTCACAGGGAGGCAATGGAAGGTTTTTTGCTAAATTTCTTGTAGGATTTAATCTGCTTAGCGCAACATCATTCACAAACATGATTTTGAGGCTCTGATTTATAGATAATTTATTAAATATTGCTCCTGATATCTAGATGATATTGAGGTTATAAATAAACTAATAAATATTGCTCCTGATATCTAGATGATATTGAGGTTATGAGAGCACTCAGAACTGAGAAGGATAATTTTAAATCTAAAAAATGAAACAACTTGTCTCAGTAGTTATATTATAAAAGGACTGTAAGCGTAATTTCATGTGACCCTCCATGCGAAGATGGCAATACCCGATTTACAACGGTACCCTTTAAAACTTATTTATCTATGTTTCTTTGGACTGTTACTTTTCATTTGTGTCTCTGCGTAAGTGGGTTGTGCATTTCTTGCTCCTAAGAAACAATTGAGAAATTCACAGAATTAAACACTTAGAGTGAAGAAAATGACGTTATGTTCCACATTTATTATCATATTAAGGTTCCAAGGGTACCGTTGTAAATGCCATTTTTGCTTAGAAGGTCACTTGAAATTACGCCTACAGTTCCTTAAACAAATAAACATGCATGGGATTGTGATTTGAGGTTTTAATTTTGATTATTATTATATTTTATGTCTGCAATTAGATATTTATCGCGTAGATGATCCGTTTTTGGTAAAAATTCCTAAGTAACTCTTTAAATGTCAATTAAATTTGTTTATGCTGATAAAGAAAGATATTTTCATCATTTAAACTGAATAACATATATAAATTTACTTTCTTCAATAAATTAATTAAATTTTACATTTTTGGTTTTTTTAAACTTTCTTTTGGAATTCAGATTATTGTTAACACTAAAAATATCCTGGTGAATATTTAGATAAATAAAGAAGTAAATTTTATATTTTCTTTGTCTTTTTACTTGATCCCTAATTATATAATATATATATATCATATATGTGTATTGTGTATGAAATCTTCGCACAATCTGAAATGACCTTTTTCTGTTCTTTTAACTGATAAAAGGTTTAACATGATACGTCATTTTAACTTTTTTAGTTTTTATCTAAACAGGAATTACTTTACAATATTACTAGTTTGGAAACCCAGCTTTGCTTGGAATTTTCCCAATATACACACTTAATTTACACTTAATTTTGTATGTTTTTATTATATTTCTTAAATCTCACTCACTAAAAAAGTTAATCCACTCAACTGAGAATTGCTAAGTAAAGCTAAGAATATTCCCGTGGTTCGACCGAGTTTCCCAATCAAAATGTTGAAGGATTCATAAGTTTTCTCCTCGAACATCCCGACAAACATAGATTACTACATTAAAATGTGTCGATACAAAATCCAAAAATATTTCTGGAACATAGATAAAAAAAGCCTCAAACCCAAATTTTTTTGAAAAATTGATAATAATTGAAAAGAGACATAAAATCCACAAAAAAAGTTTAGTGGAAATCTGAAATCATTGCGTCTTTTCTGATTGGATGTTAATAGGGCTTTTCAACTTTTAACAGATCAGCGGGTCTTTTTTAACTTTAGAATACGCTGATGGAGGCTTTTTATATAACAAAATTCATCAAAAATGGGCGCAGTGCGTAAACAGCCGAAATTTAAATTTTTTGTCATTTCTCATTCAATCATTTATTAAACTTGTTAAATAGCAATGGATTAAACATTTTTCCATTAATTTACAAGAAAGTTCCAAAAGTATATTTATTGTCGTATTTTAATGTTTTAAACCTAAAATCCGAAGCAAATAAAAATGTCGAAAATGTTGTGCAAAAATTGCAAATCCCGGTTTGTTCACTCACCCTCAGGGGGGGGGACGAGCCCCCCCACCCCTGGGGGGTGGACTCTTTTAATTTTACATCTGCTTGCATTTCCCTTCCTCAGGCAATCTGCACATCCTACATTGCATTGCACTCACCCGAACTAAAAGATTAAGGTAATAAATAAAATATATTCTGATGCACAACAATACCCTTCAAAGCTTTGTCTGATCAAGTATTGCATTAAATATCCATGTTTCCCAGTGGCGGACATAAGGGGGGTTATTGGGGTTATTTACCCCCCCCTAGAATCCTGGAGGTAATTACCCCCCCCCTAGAATCCTGGGGGTAAATACCCCCCCCTAGAATCCTGGGGTTAAATACCCCCCCTAGAATTCTAGGGGTAATTACCCCTGAACATATTTTCAGGCCCTGAATAGCAGGGGTTACTCCATTTGCTGCCTCTACAAGTAACAGTTCCAGTTGCCTTGAACCCCTCCCCTCCAAAAAAATACATTCCCTATTGATTAGTCTGCACTTGTGTAAAGAGGACTATTTTCATGATAGTAAAAGTTTTTGCGGCATTTTGCAGATGCTTAAACTTTTAGTTCGGTTACTTCAGCAAAGTTCACTCACACACAACTCGTAATAATAAAAAATATATATATTATGAGTTAATTTCCTAAAATACGATTTTTGGTCAAAGGTACATCGGACATGCTACTCTATAAACGGAGGATCACTTGAAATTACGCATTTATTCCATTTAAGTATAATTACATCGTATAATAAAATACTTTAAAATCTTACTTTTGCCCTTAACTAAAAAAGTTTCATTAAAAAAGCTTAAATCAATACTGCCTTAAGTATAAATATATGTTTGATATCAATAATTTATAAAACAATATGTATCGATCCAATGAAAATATAGTGTGTACATGAGCGAATAGTTTACATAGTTAGAAAGGTATCAATATTTTTTCAAAAAAGGGGTTTTTAAGGGGGGAAGCACAATGTTTCCACGGGGGGGGGACACAACAAAATGTGCCCCCCCCTTGGCAAATGCTCTCGTACGCCCCTGCTTACCCTGTAGATAAATTCTATTTGCCAGGTAGTATTTAAAGTATATAAATGCCTGCCTTCATTTTGGAAATACCGGAAATAAGAGGATTTGATGAAAAATATAATCTGAATAAATAGTGTAAAAAATATATATTTAACGGTTTGAGTGGAATAGTAAAACTAAGTGTACTTATATGGGCATTAAGAGTTTTCGTTCATTTTCTCCTTATAGACGCAACATATAGACAAAATATTAGTGGCAATCGAATTCGATTTATTTTCGCTAACGCTCAACTGTCTAATTCTTATAGCAATGCACAAATAACATAATACGCACTTTCTAACGTTGATAGGATACAAATAAGAAAATTAATTTCTGATGTCAGTGGGAAGTTTGAATAGGATTTCTGAATATACCAAACATGTAAATACCCTAAGAACAAGTTTATGCTTAATGTTAGAAATCCCTGCTTTAACATATGTGCGTGCAGTAATAAACATAAGGAATCTGGTGAGAACAAATCAGTTTAAGAAAATCCTAGATCAAATCAGACATGATAGTTTTCTTCCTCCTTTCATTATGTTTCCCCTATTCTACATCTAGATCGTTCTATGTCCAAGCACCGCCTCATACAGTGATCAAAAGACAGGCACTAGGCCCAGGAAATAATGTTCAAATAACAAAAATTGATATTTTGTCTGAGATCCAATACCGGTATTCTAGAACCACTATAGAGGCATATTTCAAGAACTATGGACAGGATGCAAATATAGCAGAGTTTAACACAATTTTACCTGACACAGCCTTTATTAGCAACTTCAGTTTGACCATACAGGATATAGAATATGTTGCCGAGGTAATGCCTAAAGAAGAAGCCAAGAAGACTTTTAACCAGCAAGTAAAATCGGGCAGAGGAGCCGGGCTAGTTGAACAGGACTTCAGAGACAAAAATGTTTTTGTTATATCGGCAAATGTTGAAGCCAATGGTAAAGTCCTGTTTCGTCTGACATATGATGAGTTACTGGAACGGCGGCAAGGGTTTTATGAGCAAGTGATCAATCTTAAGCCTGGTCAGATTGTGGATGATTTTAATATAGTTGTTTACATCAATGAATCACTGCCCATCAAATCACTGTCTGTCCCTGAAGTTAGATCAAACGCAATTGAACCAGCTAATAACGCCTTGGCCAAGATTACCAAAGATATTGATGGCGATTCTTCAATCGCAATAATTGAAATCAACTTAAGCAAAACTGAGCAAGCAGTGTTGGGAGAAAATGGTATCGGAAAAGACATTATTATTAAATATGATGTTGAGAGGAAGCATAACAATGAAGTTCAAGTTATTGATGGACATTTTGTGCATTTCTTTGCACCAGAAAATCTGAAGGTACTACCTAAGCATGTTGTCTTTGTGCTTGATGTGAGTGGATCAATGGAAGGGGAAAAAATGAAACAGCTCAAAGATGCAATGTTCACAATCTTAGATGAAATGAGCGAAGAAGATTCCTTTGAGATTATTACCTTTAGCACAACAGTTGCCCATTGGAATTCAGCAGAAAACTTTAGATTTGGAGTTATTCATGCTTCTGGTGAAAATAAATTGAAAGCCATTAATCATATTCTACAGCTGACAGCTTCAGGGGGAACTAATATTGATGGGGCTTTGGAAAAAGCATTAGAGCTTTCTAAATCCCTTAAGGAAATCAAAACTTTAGGGTCAGAGGTGCAAACAATGATACTTTTTCTGACAGATGGGCAACCAACGGTAGGACGAGCTGATCATCAAGAAATTAAAGAGCATATCCGAACCCTTAATCTAGAAAGTGGGATTCCCATTTTCACTCTAGCCTTTGGATCCGATGCAGACTTTAATCTGATGATTAGTATTGCAGAAGACTCAGGTTCCAGAGCTAAACAAATTTATGAAGGCTCAGATGCTGCACTTCAGCTGGAAGGTTTTTATAAAGAGATTGCTAGTCCACTTCTTTCAGATCTAGAGTTTGAATATGTTGGAGCTGCTGTGGATGAGGACACTTTGACTGATACCCATCTGAAGACATTCTTCAAGGGATCTGAGTATATTGTAGCTGGCAAGATTATTCCAAATGAGGGTAACTTCACCATAAGCATTAATTGTATTGGTCAAGACAGTGTCAACGAAGTACTTACTGTGCCTTCAACACCTACTGTTAGATCAGAAGCACAACATTTCTTACAGAAGCTTTATGCATTTCTTACAATCAAGCAGCTGCTTTTGAAAGAGGATGGCAAGACTAAAGCTTTACAGATGTCAATAGAGAACAATTTTGTTACTAAATTAACATCTCTGATAGTAGAAAAGGGAAACAACAACAAAGAAGAAGCCTTTATTCTAGATAAAAGACCTAAGATTAGAAACTACAGCAGTGGAATGACAACTCAAAGTAGGTCAGGAGTTTCCTGGAGAAAGCAACCTCAGTTTTTTGGAGGTCCAACAAAGGGAGGATGGTCTCATCACTCATCAGGTTACTATAAAGCTTCTGCTTTTGGAGTACCCCGTAGTGGAGGTTCCTCTTCTGGAGTACTCCGCATGGGAGGTAGTCAATATCAAGATTATGATTACTATGGTGGTAGAAACACTCCTTTACCAACAACAACATGTTTTGGGAAACTAACACTTTACTCCAAGACATATCGAAGAGGAGAATCACATGAAATTACAGATTCATCTGATAACCTAAACTCCTTCACCAACAAAGCTGTATCTGCCCTGGTTGATGGTAATTGTTGCTGGAGGGTTTATGCAAACATTAATCTGACTGGAGCCTCTCTACTACTCAGCCCTGGGCAGGATTATAATAGTGTCACCAGTCTTCATGCTCTCTTCAGGAATATCGAATCTGTTCAGAGAGTTATCTGTTGACTGTACAATTCACTGTAGCTGTTTGGAGGTTGGTTTAGTATACTTAGAATGAATCGGAATGTACACTGTACAGTGCCACTGTTTGGAGGTTGGTTTAGTTTACTTAGAATGAATCGGAATGTACACTGTACAGTGCCACTGTTTGGAGGTTGGTTTAGTATACTTAGAATGAATCGGAATGTACACTGTACAGTGCCACTGTTTGTGATTCTTTTTTATACATGAATATTACCATTTGCAGATTGAATTAAAAATAAATATGATGAAACTGTTTTTGTTGTTAAATAAAAAGTATATGCCTGCTTTTTTACTTTAAAAATATAACTTGTGCTTAATTTAAGTAGCGGATTGTAAGGAATCATTTCGAGAAGGAATTTTAATCTTAAATTTTAGATTATTTTAAAGAATCTTGAAGAAGATCCGATAAAAAGTCTATTTTTGGAGTAAATTTAGTTACCCATTTAGATGAATAAATGAATTACAAATTTAACATTTTTAAAGGTCTAAACTAAGCTAGCTTGTTTTTAAGGAACTAAAGAAACTATCTAAACTTATTCTTGATAAAATTGAGGAAATAGTTAGAAATAAAAACTTTTCAAGATAAAAAAACGAGAATATTTTTCTAAGTTTTTCTCGGCAAAGTTGAAATCACTTTAAGCATTTGTGTAGAAACTAATTTACCATCTTTACAGGGGGTTTCACAAAACACTGTTTACAGGGTGTCCTAATAAACATGTTAAATTGATAATTTTCAATATCTTTATATCTTCAAAATTGACCGAGATTTTTAACTTTTTAAAAGTTTTGTTATTATTCAATGAATTGGAATATGAACAAATATCTTAATATCTCGGTCAATTTTAAGTTAAAAATGAAAGAGGACACTTTGGAAATCCCACGACTAGAAGTTATAAATGTTGTTTTAACTGGGATCCAAAAACATGCCAATTCTAGAGTAGAGAAGAAGCCGTCACTATTTCCCAAGTTTATTGGGACACCCAGTGTAATACAGTGATAACCAGAGAACTCTGGAATAGGAAGATGACTTTTAGAATCAAGTAATAACGTTAAAAAGTCCAATGAGAATTAAACATAGCAATTGTACAGCGTAAACAGACCCATTTCACTAAATAAGTGATTTTATAATTGTCTAGTTAAACTATTTGCTTTGTAACAACATCAAATACGCTTAAATATTGCTATAAAGTCGTCTTCCTATTCCGATGTTTTCTGGTTATCACTATATTTCACGTCCATTAACTGCCTTGGACATGCAGGGTTACTCATAAAGGATGAGACTTCAGAGACAACGAAATTTTCTCAATCTTTTTTTTGGCAATGTACTTTTTAAAATAAAACTATCAATTATATTATTTAAAACTGTGTGCTAGGCAGAAAACAAAATGTTGCATGTCTTCAAATAGTTTTTAGAGTTTCAGGTCGTCATTACAGTCTAATCCTTTGTTGGTAACCCTGTACTCCATGTCATAAACAATTCAATATAATCACTGTTTGAAAAGTCGTCTTTATTTGTCATTTTTTACAAGACACCCTGTATATATATATATACTAAACATAAAGTTCCGGAAGTCTGCTTAAATTTAGAAAGTTCAAATCATGCTAAGTGTTTACAAACTTTTTCACGCTGATTACAGGTCATTTTGCAAACATTTTCACGCAGATTAAAGTTCATTTTGCAAACATTTAAAACTCGTTTTTAATAAGAATGTGGCAAGCAAAATGCTTCTTTAGAATTAGAGTAAATAATTAATTTTATCAATGAAAATAACAAAAATTGTATTTGTTTAAACTATGAATATGATAATAATTTGATTATTTTTCATGAACAAAATAAGGATTTTTACTAAAACTACATCACATCCTTCTTTTCGAATTCATGCACGGGCACCACATTGACCTTGCACAATAATTCCAATTTTTCGTGATCATTAGCATTGCCCAATGTCGTGCAAAAACTATGACCTTTATTTATGCGCAAAATTATGAAAAAATCATGACTTAAATTCTATGTTAATGTGTAATTTCGTGCAAAATTTTTTTTTCTCGAATGAATGTGCAATTTTGTGCAAAACTGGTTTCGAATTGATACGAAATCGATGCAAAATTTCGTGCAAGAAAAGTCATTTAGTGTAAAAAAACGAAACTGTTGCAAAAGAGAATCTATTGTTTCGTGTAAACCCTAGTTCCAATATGAACATGAAACAGTGTCCACTTGTAACTTTATAAAATGTATATTTAAACTAAATTAATTTGCTTTATAACAATATCAAAGAAGCGTAAGATTGCTTAAATGTCGTCTTCCTATTTCAACCTTTTATGGGGCCCCTCTAGGTAGGGTTTCTCTAGCTGTTTTTCTAATAAATATGAAAATATGAAAATAAGAAATTGTCAATAATCACTATCACACAATAAAACATATGCTTGTAACTTTGAAACTAAAACTAAACTAAAAACTAAACTAAAAAACTAGCCTTTGAGAAAATTTTCATTAGTTAAATTTGTCATGATAACTTTGTTTGCATAAAAAGCTAAAATGGTGCCACTGGAGTCTTCCTATCCATCTATAGATATGTATTGTATACATTTCTCTTGTTTGATACCTTCAGCTGGACCAGATTGTCTTAAATTTGTACGCAAGGAACCCTAAGTGATTAATTGATTCATTTCCTTAAATTGTTTCTCGAAATAGGTCGAAATATCGAAATAGGTCGAAATAGCGAAATAGGTGGAAATAGCAGGAAACAACGAAGTACGCAAAAACAACGATTTTCTTTCGAGTTTGTGCGAAATTACTTTAGCGCACCAATGCGAAAATATTTTACTCAAAATGTAAGAAAATCTTTGCGCAATTATTACACGATTTTCGTACAAAAAATTTCGATTAAAAACCCTTAATTTTAAATTAAACTTGAATCCAACAGTTGACGTCTCCTTTTCCACAGTTTCATGGGCACTAATGTACGCAGTACTGTACTGTACGTACTACAGTACGGTCTACTGTACGCAGTGAGAACCAGAAAATTCTGGAACATGAAGACGACTTTTACACCCAAGTCATCTTTAAATAGTTTTATAAAGATTGTGTAGTATAAACAGACCCATTTTAATTGGTAAATGATTTAATAAACTAAAAAAACTATTTCTAGTATTTTACTTCAGTATTGTTTTAATGTCGTCTTCCTATTTGACAGTTTCTGGTTCTCACTGTATATATTGATGTCAAAAATCTCCCAGTTTTATTCTGTTGGTGACATTACCCCCAATTTAATGTAAATATATCTCGCCCACAATTTAAGTCTGCAGACATGTATATATAAAAAGCTCTGAACCGTGAAAACGATTCACAAATCTGGCATTGATGATACTTCTCCATGTCATTCCAGGTACTCCCCCCACCACCGCAAAAAATGTGTATTATTGCAGTGTTGAATAAACCTAATTTTCCCTTTTAAATTCACAGAGTTGAGTTGAGTTCACAGAATACACTCGAGTTGAGTTGAGTTTACAGAATTTCATTTTCAAAAGTTTCTTTTACTATCTCTAGAATAAATGCTAACAACACTAACAGTTAAACCGAACATAAAATAAAATGTAGATTTTTTGCAAGCGTGTTTTTTCTGCTTTAGTTTTGTTTGAAGGCTGGATAATGTAGTATAAGCAAGGTAATTGGACTTTATGTGAACCTGATAAGTATAATCTTATTTTTATGCCTAATATCCAAGAAGCCAAATGTTTTGAATTTACAGTACAAAGATTTGCCTGAGTTGCCTCCCCTAGAAGCTTTGAAGGGGGGGGGGGGCAAATAACAAATTTTGCGTTTCGTGCATATTTGGCCCCCCTAGATTTATATCTAATAACGCCCCTTAACTACCCGACATTTTTTCAAGTGTCATTTAAAAAAGAAGAGCATTTTAACTTTTATGTGAAGCATTCCTTGTCTTTCTTTCTATACATTAATAATTTCTCATTTTGGGTTCTCTAAAAAAGTGAATTGAGGAGTTTAGCAGCAGAGACAGAGAAGTAATTTACAGAATTCAACACTTTTAAAGATGGCTAAAAGTAAGACGAATTTTTAAGAATTAATTGCAGAGCATGGCTGAGAATATAAAGATAGTTTTTCGTTTAATTTCTTGATTCTTCGCTTTAAAAAATAAACTTTTGAAAAAAATACTAACGAACTGAAAGCTTTAAATTTTTAATAAAGAAATACGAAATGACGATAAGTTTGAGAAAAATTATATTATTTATAAATTTTCTGTAAGTCTATTTTATTTATTTTAAAACCTGTTTACTTCAGAACTGACCTTCTACCATCTCAAAGGTTTTATGGAATATTAAGGGTTACTTGTGGGATCCATCAATGAATTAATGCAGTTTAAAAGTACAGTGTCCTGGTTATTAGAAATAGAAAACGTTTTTTATCAAGATCTGTGAGTAATCTAATATTTTTCTCCAATACTTGAATGTTTTAAATTTTTTCCAAGAATTGAAATGTTTTAAATTTTTTCATGTTACTAAACTATTGTGTTACTGGTGTGCAGGCAAATTTGTTTAAAGAAACTGTAGTTATAATTTCAAGTGATACTCCATTTTTAAACTGTTTTTACAAAGAAACCAAAATTGTAAATAGTCAATTTTAAGCTATAAAAACTAGGAAATGTCATTCATCTTTGGTCAGACATAGATTCAAAGGTTAGCAATGTAAATCAGACATTTCCACTCTATAAACGGCCATTAGAAATTATGTTTAAGTGGTAGGGAAGGCTTTAGGTATTTGTGAATGATATTGCATTTATTCCCTAAACTCTAATAGAAGTGTTTACACATCTCAACCAAGGAACATGCAAGAAAAAAATTTCTATAAATTTTTTTTATATAATTGGATAGATATTAACTTTTATAAATTATCAAACTTTCCTTTTTAAAAATCTATCTAGAAAGTTTTGTCTGAAGGTCATGGGAGGGGAGGAAGGACAGACACAACAATTTCTCGTCCGAGCCACATTCTCCTCATTTTCTCGTCCGAACCACATTCTCCTAATTTTCTCGTACGACCCACCTGAAAATCCTCGCCCTTTGGTATTCTGTGTTTAGAATTTTCTCTTTCTTTAAAAATCTGGGCAAGTTAGGGCATAAAATATGGATAGGCTAAAATATTACAATGATTAAATTATGTTGGAATCTTAAATGCCATGAGAATGATGTCAAACATTATTTAGGTAAAACTTAAATCACTCGCCTCCGTAAAGGCTAACCTTCACGAATAAAATAAATATCAAAATATTTGGCATACACCTATGTCGATCATTCTCCCCCATAGGACCGACCGGAAAAATTCTTTGGTTTTCACTGTAGTTAACAGAAAAGATTAAAGTTCTATAAACTCGGAATTACTTGCGGCATCCTACACTAGGAATATCTGAAAATGTGCTTTAAAAAGGTGAACATTTTCAAGGACATTGAACTCGAAAACTTAATTCAATTGAAACTATTTTTTTAAATTTGAAAAAATTCAATATTACATTTATGCCCTAATGTGGCCGGATTCTTAAAGAAATAGTTTCATCTTGAAGGATTATGGAAGGAAGAGGATTTCGAGGTGGCTCGGACGAGAAAATGTGGTTCGGACTAAAAATTGCTGTGGTTGACCTTCCTCCCCTCGTCATGGTGTACGTTCTGTTTGCACTGAATGAATTTGTATAAATGCAATGTAACCCACACTTCTTATCATTGTGTAGAGGACTGCCCAGGAAACAACATCTTGAAAAAATGACGGATCTGTATGATACAGTGGCCTGGGGAAAGTCTTCCAAGGACTCCAAGTTCAGTCAGCTAAAGATTCAAAGAAATCTTCCAGGAGCTGATGATGTGACATTCGATCTGAAGTATTGTGGCATCTGTCACACAGATGTGCATATTGCGAATAACGACTGGGGAACTACAACCTTCCCTGTAGTCCCTGGACATGAGCTGGCTGGGGTGGTTTCTGCGATTGGAACAAATGTGACCAAGTTCAAGGTGGGCGATCAGGTTGGGGTCGGTTGCATCGTTGACAGCTGTTTGAAGTGTAGAAACTGTAATGATGGGGTTGAGCATATATGTTCAGGAAAAATGACCATGACTTATGATTCAAAAATTTCCCACGGACACATCAAGACCAACTCAGGAATCACCTATGGAGGGTTTAGCACATCACAGACAGTAAATGAGCGCTTTCTGATCAAGATACCAGCAGAGTATCCTCTAGAATCTGCGGGTCCTCTTTTCTGCTCTGCAATAACCATGTACTCTCCTCTATGCCACTGGAAGGCGGCTTCAGGAGGGTTGAATGTTGGAGTCATAGGGATTGGCGGTCTTGGACAAATGGGCATAATGCTGGCAAAGGCTATGGGAAATAAGGTAACGGCTATCTCAACCAGCCCTGCCAAGCAGCAGGATGCTATGGAGATTGGAGCAGATAACTTTATTGTTTCCACCGATGAAGCCAGCATGCTTTCGGGAGCTGATACATTAGACTTGATTCTTAACACAGTGTCTGCTAACCACCAGATTGAACACTACCTTCCTCTGCTGAGAAGAGACGGCTCTATTGTCCAGTTGGGACTTGTTGGTAAAAAGCATGAAATTGCACAGATTCCATTGATGCGAAAGAGAATTCAGATTTCAGGATCAATGATTGGTGGCATCCCGGAAACACAAGATTGCATGGACTTCTGTGCCAAGCACAAGATCTTCTCCAAGATAAAGCTTGTGAAAGCATCTGAGCTTGATCATGTGTTTTCTATCCTTGAACAGAAGAACGATCAGGTTGTCAGATATGTTCTTGATATTGAAGCAAGCAAATAAATTTATAATTATGTGATAAATATTTAAATTTAAACATTCTGTTTGTTTAAGCATATCACAAATAAAATGATAAAGAAAGTTAAAGGTGTTTACTTGTTGCCTAAAACGAGGGGGTAGAAAGAGATAAGAATTCTTGAAAATTAAATATATGTTGTTTTTAGTATTCAATCAAATGCATGTAGTTTATACTGAAGTTAAAAATATTTCAATGGACACATAAGTTTGACATAATTGATAATGTGTTTTACTGACTAAACAAAATATCCAGATCTGTATTTTTAGCATGAAGACATAAAATGTTGGGACTCATATTTTTCAATTTCCTCGCTTTCTCTGATTCAATCCCTCAATCTGGTTACTATAGGGATGATAGGTATAGTATCTTTAATAATAAAAAGGTGTTCTTAAAGGAACTGTTATTAAGGGAACTGTTCTTAAAGGGACTGTTCTTAAAGGAACTGTTCTTAAAGGGACTGTTCTTAAAGGGACTGTTCTTAAAGGGACTGTTCTTAATGGGACTGTTTTTAAAGAGACTGTTCTTTAAGGGACTTTTCTTAAAGGGACTGTTCTTAATGGGACTGTTCTTAAAGGGACTGTTCTTAAAGGGACTGTTCTTAAAGGAACTGTTCATAAAGGAACTGTTCTTAAAGGGACTGTTCTTAAAGGGATTGTTCTTAAAGGGACTGTTCTTAAAGGGACTGTTCTTAAAGGAACTGTTCTTGAAGGAACTGTTCTTAAAGGTACTGTTCTTAAAGGGACTGTTCTTAAAGGAACTGTTCTGAAAGGGGACTGTTCTTAAAGGGACTGTTCTTAAAGGAACTGTTCTTAAAGGGACTGTTATTAAAGGGCCTGTTCCTAAAAGGACTGTTCTTAAAGGGACTGTTCTTAAAGGGACTGCTCTTAAAGGGACTGTTCTTAAAGGAACTGTTCTTAAAGGGACTGTTCTTAAAGGACTGTTCTTAAAGGAACTGTTCTTAAAGGGACTGTTATTAAAGGGCCTGTTCCTAAAAGGACTGTTCTTAAAGGGACTGTTCTTAAAGGGACTGTTATTAAAGGGCCTGTCCCTAAAAGGACTCTTCTTAAAGGGACTGTTCTTAAAGGAACTGTTCTTAAAGGGACTGTTCTTAAAGGGACTATTCTTAAAGGGACTGTTCTTAAAGGAACTGTTCTTAAAGGGACTGTTATTAAAGGGACTGTTCTTAAAGAGACTGTTATTAAAGGGACTGTTCTTAAAGGGACTGTTCTTAAAGGGACTGTTCTTAAAGGGACTGTTCTTAAAGGGACTATTCTTAAAGGGACTGTTCTTAAAACTGTTCTTAAAGGGACTGTTATTAAATAGACTGTTCTTAAAGAGACTGTTATTAAAGGGACTGTTCTTAAAGGGACTGTTCTTAAAGGGACTGTTCTTAAAGAGACCCTCCATCCAAGTAAAGATGTTAATGCCGGATTATAATGGCAACCTTGTCACCTTTGTCTGTTCAAAAATGTGGAAGATTATTATCGTTTTTCCAGGTTTAAAGTTTTTAATTCGGGAAAATCTCATTTGTTTTCCTGCAGAAGAAATGTGCAAGTCACTTTTATAAAGAAACTGCACAATTGAAAATAATTAGTTTTTAAAATGATAAACATTAAAATCTAATCCATACTTGAACTTAATCAGTCACAGATTTAAAGGTACCATTGTGAATCAGGCATTGCCATCTTTGCATGGGAGGTGATTTTAAATTACGCTTACAGTTCCTTTTAGTCGAAGTATCAAAATGATAGATGATTTGTAAAAATGCTTATCACATTCTTGATTCATGCAATTCTTTTGCCATAGATTCATGCAAAAAAAATTGAGATCCTATAATTTCTCCAGTTCTCACACTAATCTAAAGCAAGAAGTAAATAAACACTTCAAAATTTATCAAGCAAACTTTATGATAAGGGACAAATATTAAAACAAAAAATGTTTCTTTGAAAGGTGAGAATTTATTTTAGAATTTTTATACCGTGGTTGGCGTTATATCAATGCAATGAACACGACTACACAGACTGTTCATACACTCTACCTGGATTGGCTGAAATATCCCTGAATACAGATAAAATATTGCATATTATAGGTGTTAATCGATCTCTGTAACTCCCTAATCTCTGGCAATGAAGAATAATCAATACAATATATATACGACGATGACAATAGTAAAATATATTTTTTAGGTACAACGATGGAGGATATCGTCGACCATACTATCCAAATTACAGGAAACAACTTTTTAATATCCCCCATTCGTCTCTAGAATTTAAAATGAAGATCAAAGGTATTGTCGTAAGTAAAGAAAAAGGTGCAAAAATTCACTGTAAAAACTAAATGTTGTATAAACATCTGACGAGAGTATTGATTTTTTTGCGTCTTTAAAAACGACGATTGGTACGATAATAATTGGTGATCAATTTAATTAAACAAAATTTACATAAATATTAAAAAAAGCATTACATAACTTATTTTAATTTATTTTTAAATGTCAAGTTTTCAACTGGACTTTAATGGGTATGTGGAAAATGTGAACAACACTGGGGAAACCTTCGTAATTGGGTTTTTAATAAATTTAATAAAAGTATTAAATTTAAAGGTACTGTACATGTGATTTTACACGATGCGATCAATGAATATAGAATACAGTTTCATTTCTAGGAAATAAAACAAAGATAAGGCAAAAAAATCCGCCAAGAATTCATCAGAAATCCGAGAAAATTGAATAAATTTAAAATGGATTTCAATAAAATGGTTGTAAATAGACCCTATGGACGCGAGAATGATGGCTATAATCGACCTTATGATGGCAATAATCGACCTGATGATGGCTATAACCGGCCAAATGGCTACCGACCAACCAACTATGATGGCTATGGACGGGAAGATGGATATTCTAAGGAGGGGGCATACAGAACTTTCGGGATCAGGGTCGATTCAATACCATACAGGGATTACACAAATATTATGAAAAATGGTTTTAAAAATACGATTATATCTTGAGTAAGAATTTGAGAGAGAGAGATCAAGATAAATAGGAAAAGGAATCTCTGATTGTTTAATCCCTATATCTTGCAACCCATTGTTTTAGACCTCAGAATTCAAACCAATAATTTAAGTTTGAACTGTCAAAGGTTAATGTTTATGGGTTGCAAATATACAGAGATTAGAAAATTTGAGTTTGTGGCAAGAACTCAAATCCTTTGCATAAAATATGAATTGCTTCTCCTGACTTGGATAGTTTGTTCCAATTATTACTTTATACTTAATCTGCGTTTGTACAGTTAAACCCTAAATATTAAATACATCAAAAGACTTTATCAAATGTCGTATTCTTCACTTTCTGATAATGGAATTTAATTCATTAATTACATGGTTACATGGAGCTTTTTAAAACTGTTTCCGCATATTCATGGCTATTTATTTATTTTCGCAAATACTGAGATTTACGTAAAATACTATAAAACCCATTGAAAAATTGTCAAGACGACACTTAATAAATTCTTTCGATGTATTTAATATTTAGGGTTTAACTGTAATTAATTTAGTTTAACTGTACTTAATTGCTAGGTTTTGACAAATATATTCAAGGGGAGATGAAACCTCACATTTTTGAGATTGGCAGACATTTATTGAAAATTAAGGTTTTTACGTTAAAAACGAATGTTAAAGATGAAAAACTATAGCAAAATGTACATCCCAAAGAGATACGTCTTTTTCAAGGCATAGTCGACTTTTAGTATCTATCAGGGTACTAATGGGTTCCCTCAAAAAATTTCAGCCCATTCAGTACAGCCGTTTGGTCGGCTATAGGCAACATATATTTATGATTTTTTTTTTATTATATATAGATTAAAAACGGATGTTAAGGATAAAATAGCAAAAATGTACAGCCCAAAGAGATATCACGTCGACTTCATAACCCCTTGGCCTTTATTTTTACATTCAAACTAAGCTAAAATTACCTTTCGGTGCCCTTCACATGTATGTTCTAAAAAAGGATATATAATAGTAATAAACATTTTTATTAATAATTTATTTAATAATTATTCTGTAAAGTGGAAGCGGAAGAGAAAATTATGGATATGGAAGAGAGCAAGGTACAATTAAACATATAATTATATTTATTTTTGTTTTAATTATTTAATTATTCAAAATGAAAACATTTAGGAAATGTATGAGAATTTTAAAGATCTTAATTAAAAATAAACATTTATAATTATTTTTGAAGGAAATTGTACCTTTAACGCGCGATGATGACTTTAACGAACGAGTTAAATGAAAAAAAAATTTTTACAGCTGGAGAAAGATGTCCCTACGAAAATATTGATGCAAGAAGCAGAGTTCGCCGGGAACTCAACAGCGATCAACAAATCCATTCGATCAATTCAACGGGACAAAATCAATCAGATCAATTGATCAATGGTCCAGTTGTCCAACCGTTGAAACTATCACATATGGAGAAATTTCTTAAACGGATTGTTAAGAAAAGAGAAACAGAGTTTGTCAGGTTAAAAATTTGATTTTAAATATATGATTGATTTGATTTTGGGTTAAAGGGACTGTTAGCGCATTGACATTGACATTAATACAATGATGGCAATGCCCGATTTGCAACGATACCCTGACAAAACTTCGTCTGATCCAGTATCAAATAGATATCCATAAATTTTCCCTTTTAACTGTTAATTTTCAGATTTGCTTGGAAGGTCACTTGAAATTATGCTTAAAGTCCCTTTAATATTTAACGGTAATTGGATCAATAGAAATTTGTCTCTGCAGAACATTTGAGATTTAGGTCAAATGTATCAATATGCATATTTAAATTCATGGAAATGAATAAAATACCGAAAATGAAAATTGTTGAATGATAATTTACACCGGATACACCGTATACCGAGAATACGCAACATTCTATTTTATAAAAAGCTGTAATCAGAGGCGTAGTCAGGGGGGGGGAAGTATGGTATTGGTCTCGTCAGTTCTTGATATTGATTCTGTCATCAAGATTAAAACAAAATTTCGAGGGAGATTTGAATTGGGTCCGTCTTAGTCTAACGTTTTTTGGGCCCTTCCCCTCTATCTATTTTGTACATAACCAATATTTTTATTGGAAGTTTGTTAAAAAACCCGGCTTCCTATTCCACATTTTATTGGGTACCATGGTATTATTTTTTAAGTTTGTTGAAGGCGCGCGAAGGAACTGAAGATTCCAGCGGCTCACCGGAAACTAGACATCATTATGCCTACTATAATGATAGGTAAAACCTCAGAGACCCCTTTATTTTAGACCAGATTCAGGATACAATCCCTTTATTTTAGACCAGATATAGGATACAATCCCTTTATTTTAGACCAGATTCAGGATACAATCCCTTTATTTTAGACCAGATNTTTTGTCTAGTTTGTCGTCAGGTTTCAGATCAGAGGTTTCATGATCTTTCTCATCACTTGGTCGATTCTAGGAGTATCATTATTATCAATGTAATAATTATAATCGTGTTGTTATCATTTTATTATTATTGTTATTATTATTATTATTATTATTATTATTATTGTTATTATTACTATTATTATTATCATCATTATAATTATTATCATAATTAAATATTTAAGAGGATGCCGTGAAGCCTGTCTATGGGAAGCTGAGCTAGCATGTGATACTTCTAGAATGGATGGAGTATCTTACAGGTACAAGATTACCCACAAAGGATAAGACTGTACAGTGTACACACGACCCTAAACTAGGGGTTCCAATCGGAATTCTGTTGCGCGCAATGGTTGCTTCAGCTTGAGCCATTTCATTGCGCGCAATTGCACTAAAATTGCAAAAAAGGAAGCAATTAAATATTCGCGGAATTAATGCAGCAGATACAAGAATGAAATTAATAATATCTCTGTTGATTTTAAAATAATCGAGGCCCAAGTGTCACTTGTTTCAAATTTTAAAGTTTCTTGTGGTTAAGCTACTAATTAACAATTTAATATGATACATTTTTCATTTGTTAACATTAGATAAACATTAAAATGGAAATTTTTTTGGTTAAAATTGTAAGGTTTGTTTAATCAAAATTATATATTTTGCTACAGTGAGAACTGCAGAAAACTATGGAACAGAAAGACAACATCACACAAACAAAATTAATTAGTAACTTATTAAATCACTTATCCAGTTACATCAGTCTGCTTGAGTCTAAACTGTCGTCTTCCTATGCCATATTTCTCTCGTTATCATGCTGCAAATGAATATTATAAAACAAAATATTAAGTTTAAATTCAATTTTCTTAGCATTTGAGACTGAAATATGAGTGAAGTTCATGGTTTATTGTATGCCACTACCAAAGTTTAAATTGAATATTTTGTTGTTGAAAGGAATAGCGCAATAATTAATTGCATTTATTGCGTGCCATAAGGTTAAAATTGAATTTTATCAAAAAAAAAAACACAACGCAAGAAAGTTGGACGGAATTGCGCGCTATAGCCCGCAATTGCGCGCAATTCCGTTGGTTTCATTTGCGCGCAATTATTACGGAATTGCGCGCAATTAAATTCACTTGCGCGCAAGGGCTCGCAATTGCGCGCAAGTAAAATCCACTTGCGTTGGAAACCCTACCCTAAACTCTAAAAATATTACGATTTTTAGCTTAATTTTTGGTTTCTGCATTCAATTGAGTATTTTTATGGTTTACTAAATGATTAAGCACAGAAATAATCCGATGGGCATTTAACCCTATATGCCCTGTATTCAGAGAGAGGAATATAGCAACGGGGGCATTTAACCCTATATGCCATGTATTTAGAAGAGCAATTTAGCAAGGGGGGCATTTAACCATATATGCCCTGTACTTAGAGGGAGGAATATAGCAAGGTGGGCATTTCAGCCTTTGCCCTGTATTTTTAGAGGAGGAATATAGCAAGGTGAACATTTAACCCTATATGCCCTGTATTTAGAGGAAGAATATAGCAAGGTGAGCATTTAACCCTATATGCCCTGTATTTAGAGAAGGAATAAAGCAAGGTGAGCATTTAACCCAATATGCCCTGTATTTAGAGGGAGGAAAATGCAAGGTGAGCATTTAACCCTATATAACCTGTATTTAGAGGAGGAAGATAGCAAGGTGGGCATTTAACCCAATAGGCCCTGTATTTAGAGGAGGAATATGGCAAGGTGGGCATTTAACCCAATATGCCCTGTATTTAGAGGAGGAAAATAGCAAGGGGCATTTAACCCTATATGCCCTGTATTTAGAGGAGGAAGATAGCAAGGGGGGCAATTAACCCTATATGCCCTGTATTTAGATGGCGGAATATAGCAAGGTGGGCTTTAACCTTATATACCCCGTATTTTGAGGGAGGAAGATAGCAAGGGGGGCATTTAACCATATATGCCCTGTATTTAAAGTGAGGAATATAGCAAGGTGGGCATTAACCCTATATGCCCTGTATTTAGAGGGAGGAATATAGCAAGGTGGGCATTAACCCTATATAACCTGTATTTAGAGGGAGGAATATAGCAAGGTGAGCATTTAACCCTATATAAACTGTATTTAGAAGGAGGAATAAAGCAAGGTGAGCATTTAACCCTATATGGCCTGTATTTAGAGGGAGGAATATAGCAAGGTGGGCATTAACCCTATATATCCTGTATTTAGAGGGAGGAATATAACAAGGTGGGCATTAACCCTATATATCCTGTATTCAGTGGGAGGAATATAGCAAGGTGAGCATTTAACCCTATATAACCTGTATTTAGAGGGAGGAAGATAGCAAGGTGGGTATTTAACCCTATATAACCTGTATTTAGAGGGAGGAATATAAAAAGGTGGACATTTAACCCCATATAACCTGTATTTAGAGGGAGGAATATAGCAAGGTGGGCATTTAACCCTATATAACCTGTATTTAGAGGGAGGAATATAGCAAGGTGGGCATTAACCCTATATATCCTGTATTTAGAGGGAGGAATATAGCAAGGTGGGCATTTAACCCTATATAACCTGTATTTAGAGGGAGGAATATAGAAAGGTGGGCATTTAACCCTATATAACCTTTATTTAGAGGGAGGAATATAGTAAGGTAGGCATTTAACCCTATATAACCTGTATTTAGAGGGAGGAATATTGCAAGGTGGGCATTAACCCTATATATTCTGTATTTAGAGGGAGGAATATAGCAAGGTGGGATAGGGAAGTGGATGCCTACTATCCCAGGGATAAATATAGAGACGTTCTAGAATACTTTGGATCAAGGTAATATTGTCAACCATTAACTACAAGACCCCCCGCCCATCCATGTAATGTCGTCTTTAACTTAAAATCCCCTCTCGGAGACACCAAACCAAACAATTTTTAGCCCCATTTTCTTTTTTTGTTCTCCGGTAACGGAGTCTAAACATTTTTATTATTGTGAACACAATATTTTCATATAAACAATTAGTGACTTTCGTTAACAATTAATTGTCATTCTTTTCAGAAGTTTTAATATATAAAAACGTCTTAGGACTCCCCTACAGTTTTAACCTTCTTATCAATTATTAGATCGATCTTATCAATTATTTAGAATCTTTTTATTATAAAATTATAAAACTTTGTAACAATTTATGTATTTTTATCCATTTCATTTTTAGGAAATAAAGAGTTTTCTGCATTATCGGTTTTGATTTGAGGGTTATTCCGTTGTCTATCTGTTCATTATTGAGAATCTTGCTGCTTTCCGACAACAAATATATTTTGAAATTCAATAATTATGACTATTTCATTGAAATTTGGAAACTTTGGCTAAAATGGAAACTCTCAATACAAAAAATCAATTAGAAAATTTGTTTTAAAAAGGCTAAGACGACATTTATGAACTTATATAGAGCTGAGCTGGATGAGCGTGGTGGAATATCAACAATAATAATTAAACGAGTTAGAGCTGAGGATAAAGGAGTTTACAGGTTAATTTTTTTTCTTTACCTTTAATAAAACTTCCGGGATTTTAAAACTGTAGCCTGTCAAGTTTTTTTATCCTTAGAGAAAAAACGTTTGTTTTGGTTCGGTTGTTGCATATATTTCCTTTCGACAATTGGCAAATTGTGTAAGAAAAAAGAATTTTCAGAAAAAACAATTTTGAAATTTGTGAAACTTCTTTGATTTTTGTTAAACCTTTAAAAAGTCTGAAACCCTAAAAAACGAACCAACTGATAAAAAGAAACCTCCGCATCATGTTATCTAGGAGAGGATACCGTCTGTCGTNAACTGCTTAGGAGTATTCACAAAGAGTTTATAATGATATTATTTACAACTAACATTTCTTGTTTTAAACTGTTTTATTCTTTTCAATCCCACATCACTATATATATGCCTACAAAATAGAAGATAAATACTCTTTCTCTTCTTAGTTTTTTTCTAAAATTTCTGTTCTTTACGAAATTAACAATTTACATGTGAAGCATATTTTTGTTTGAATTGAAGTATGAACAACTCGTCCCAAGGTTACACACAAAGGATGAGACTTATCTTACGAAATTATACTAGTTTTCCCTTATACTCATGATTCTTGCAATTTGAAACTTTTTTCTGTATTTCCAATTATTAAGTAAGCCATCCAAAGACCACATTCAAGGCAGAAGACTTAATTCAAACTTAAAGACTTAATTCAAACGTGAAGACTTAATTCAAACTTAAAGACTTAATTCAAACTTGAAGACTTAATTCAAACTTTAAGACTTTATTCAAAATTGAAGACTTAATTCAAACTTGAAAACTTAATTCAAACTTTAAGACTTTATTCAAACTTGAAGACTTAATTCAAACTTGAAAACTTAATTCAAACTTGAAGACTTAATTCGAACTCGAAGAATTAATTCAAACTTGAAGACTTAATTCAAACTTAAAGACTTAATTCAAAAGTGAAGACTTAATTCAAACTTGGAGACTTAATTCAAACTTGAAAACTTAATTCAAACTTGAGATCGTCATAAATTTCCTATTTCGGTAACTCTGTATAAAGGAATCGAATCTTTGCCATAAGCTCCGATTTTCTAATCCCTTTATTTTTTCAACCTAATGTCGTAGACCTTAGATAATTCAAAGTATCATTTCTGTTGGGTCAAATAATCTAAATTTGAAATATCCAAGGTTCAACCCAGCAGGTTGCAAAGATATAGGGATTAGAAAATTTTAGTTTGTGGCAAAAACTCAATTCCTTTTCTGATTTTTATTTTGTATCAATTTCAAGATGTTATGTAGAGGGTGGCACCGAGAAGGATTTCTTAGAGGTA